CCTCTCCCACTCCCCTGCTTGTGTTCCCTCTCTCGCTGTGTCTCTCTCTGTCAAATAAATAAATAAAATCTTAAAAAAAAAGAAAATATTAATATCTGTTGTGAGAAGGAAATGGCCTAACAGATACCGAGCCCTGAACCCAGTGACTGGCAAATAAGGACCCCCAATACATACCAGGGGCGAGGCTTATCGTTCTTCATCCCGGCACAGCCCTGCAAGCTCATCTCCTGCTGGAAAGAAACGGAGTATGAATACTACAGACTGCTCCTATTATTGAGGTCAGATAGTTGCTAGGACTGATCGTACTCTCCTTCCCTCAGCTGTCTCCTACTTCCCCTCCTTGACAGAACCCGAGCAGGCAGAAATGTCTCAGCTTTACTTCCCACTGGTTGAAAATGGTTGCCATAGCAGCACTCATACACTTTCCTTCTGGGAACTCTGGGGAACGCATGCGGAAAGACATCTGCAGCTTCTGCAGCAACTGCGTCTCCCAGCAAATATCAGGGATTGGGAGGAGCGGGGTGTGCTACACACTAAGGCCCTGCCCTGGCTGTCCCCATTACCACCCAGACCCCAACCCTTACTAGACCCCTGACACTTCCCACCCCTTCTGCCCATCTAGCCTGTTACATTAGGAAGGAAAAGGGAGAAAGGAACTAGAAAAGGCCAGGGAAAGGGAAAGTCAAGAGTGATTTGTTCCCACAATTGTGTGCGGATAAAATCCCAGAATTTTCCTTCTCATGATAAAGCACTTGTTTCCATGGGGAAGTTCTAAAGAGGATCTATCCGCGGATAAAAACCCTGCCTCATTTGCTTGGTATTAGAAGTCACGGATTTGGCTCCAAGTCAGTTCATCAAGAGCCATGTCACCAAAAGCCAAGTCACAGAATGACCAAGTGAACAAGTGGGCCATTCTTTGAAGGATCGAGTTACCATACGACTTAATTCACCAAAGCTTAACCAAATTTACCAATTTACCAAAAACTCTGTTTTCTTTCTTTCAGCCTCATTAAGGTATACTTAATCATAAAAATGCACATATTTAATGCATACATTTCCATGAGTTTGGACACACGCATAGACCTGTGATAACATCACCGCAGTGGGTTTTTTTTGAAGATTTAATATGTATTTAATTGAAAGAGACAGAGCATGAGTGGGGGGAGTGGAACAGGGAGAGGGAGATGCAGGCTCCCCGATGAGCTCCATCCCAGGACCCTAAGATCATGACCTGAACCAAAGTCAGATGCTTAACCGACTGAGCCACCCAGGCGCCCCCTTTTTTACCTTTTTCGAACATCTCTTGAGCCCCAAGTGTTTTACAGATGCTGGTAGAAGGACAAAAATGGGTGAGCAGGAGTGGATGGAGTGATACAGACTTTACCAAATGGAAGCAACTGATTTCCAGAAAACTGTCTTCTATGTTCTGGATGTCAGAAAGAAAGGGACCAAGATCAGGCCTCCTACACCTTACTGGCCTCAGAGAAAGAAGGTTAAGGTCCGAGCAAAACTAGGTCAGTGTAAAGAGAAGCTTCTGCACAACATTCACTTAGCTACTGAGGGCTACAAAGAGAATTGGACCTTGTTGCTAAAGAGAGATTAGGGGCCACTGAGAGATTTAAGCAATGCTGACAGAATACGTTAAAATTTAGGTGTTATTTCCCTGAAACAAATAATACATTATATGTTAATTAAAAAAATAAAATAAAATAAAAAAGATATTTTTTTAATTAAAAAAAGATTTAGGTGTTATTTGCAAAATGAGTCACTATAGATATGCTCTTGGATGGGAGGACAGCATATATGTACATATGACCATTTGCTCCAAATTTTCTGATTTTAGCACAATTTCAATTAAAATGAAAAAAATAAGCAAGAAAACAAAAGAATAGTCTAATAAGTATGTAAGAGATTCAACTGACCACATATTTATTTATTTATTATTTATTTATTCAACTGACCACGAACTACAGAACACTACTTGTTAAGACTAATGCTGGCTCAAAAGGGCAATTACCACTGTTATCAGTGGAACAGAGGGGATGTACTGGAGTAGCTCCTGGCATACATGACATTAACAAATGCCAAAATGTATCATAAGATAATGTGCGGGGGAAAATGGGTTTTTTTGCTTTCGATTTCAAAATTATTTATTTGTATTTATTTTTAATTCCAGTATAATTAACAGTGCTATATTAGTTTCAGGTGTACAATACAGTGATTCAACAATTCTGTACATTACTCAGTGCTCATCATGGTAAGTGTACTCTTAATCCCCACACCTGTTTCACCCATCCCCCCCCACCTCCTCTCTGGTGACCATCTGTATGTTCTCTATAGTTAAGAGTCTGTTTTTTGGTTTGTCTCTTCTTTTTCCCTTTGTTCCGTTTTGTTTCTTAAATTCCACATATGAGTGAAATCCTATAGTATTTGTCTTTCTCTGACTGACTTATTTTACTTAGCATAATACCCTCTGGTTCCATCCATGTTGTCACAGATGGCAAGATAAAAAACAAAAGATATGTGAAAATATGCATGTAGCCATTTTCTTCTCAGAGAGTCTAGTGAACCGAATGGAATATATGATGAATAAATTCCATCGTACCAGTTGTCAGCTCTGTGATCTGGGCAAATTATTACCCTCTCCCTGTCTTTATTTTCTCATCTGCAAAATAGCAATAATCCTAATTAATGCATATTGCTCAGCACAGTCCCTGGCACACAGTAAGCCTGCCAAAAGTTTCAGCTGTTATTATAATCATTGCTCATTTCTTTACTACATGCAAAACACTACCCTAGCTTCAAGTGAGGAAACAAAAAAGTAGGTCACCCCGTCTGAAAATTCAAGTGCTCACTGTGCAGGTAGGGAACCTAAGAACGACACCCACAAAACAGTTTTCAGTGGGAGCCCATGTTCCAGCTGTTGTCTCTTAATGAGGGATTCACACTTCAGGCCTATAAGGTTCAGGGAGGGAAGACAAACTCTGGGCAGGTAAGGTTGCGAAAGGGAAGGAAGAGGAAGGAGGTGAGTGAAAGGAGGCAGAAAATGTGAGAGGAACATAGGCAAGACCCAAATGATTGCGCTAGACGCGGAAGGGTTTGGAATGGGAATAGCACAAGCAAGGATGCAGGGTCAGAAATGGGTACGGCAGGTTCTGAGGAATGGCTGTGAGGTTGTAGTGTCTAAGAGACATCATTCCAGAGATCAAACTGCATTGCCATGACTGTAGCTGGAAAACATGAAAGCTATGAGACTGAGTGAGTGCTCACCCCCTGCGATTTCCTCTAAACAGTATACAAAACAAAACACAATGCAAACAACAGCTTAAAAAAAAAGTCTTAGCAAAGTAAAAATGATTTTCTTGGATAGTTGTCTTTTCCTGCAATAAGTGTAAGATCCTGATGAACCGAAGTTCTCTTCTAGTGTGATTCTATTTTTTTAAAGAGACAGATGGGGGGCGGGGTGGGGGGAGAAAAAATCCCAAGAAGGCTCCACCCCCAGCACAGAGCCAGTCACAGGGCTCCATCCCACGACCCTGAGATCATGACCTGAGCTGAAATCAAGAGTCAGACGCTTAACTGACTGAGCCACCCAGGCGCCCATGTGATTATATTTAATAATTGAGATACTGATGTACAATATTACAAGGCTACCAGTTATGAGAGAGAATACGCCAATTTGTGCATGGTGCCTGAAATATCAGGAGGGTGTGAACAGAGTTATTCCAAACATCATTTTTATTTTGCCTATGGATTGAGTCTTTCCCATGTTTCGCAGGGTGAGGAAGAGCACAGTGAGGTGAATGGACCATGATTTATGGCCTTGGCTGTGGTTGCTACTCTTGGACAGCAACTCAATGACTATGAAGATGACCTCCTCATCCCTTCACATCCCACATGTTGGCCAGGATTCACGGCTGGTAGCTAACTTCCTTGCTTCCAGTTCAGAATGAATAAACACTGAACACTCACCTGTTTTGGGACTACAGAATCTATTCATCTAACAAATTTGGCCATGGTGAGATTCCAAAGTCTAAGTTTTTATATTAAATAAATACCAGAAGAACCAATTTAGCATCTTGTAATATTTCTGTCTGACTCCTTACTGGAGTTGAGATTTTGATGTGGGTCCATGGAATTCATGAGACATCTTTGGAAATTCCTTCTGATTAAGGTGAAGAAACAGAAGTATCGTTTGTGTTTCTTGGGGTGTTAGGGTTGGTGACGTAGGCCAGGGAAAATCACATTGTAAAACTTCCTCTCGGTCCGGATTTTCCCTCATTCTTCGTGAATATTTTCATTCCAATGAAACCTCTTAGGATGACCGGTGGAGTTAAAGGAAGGTAACCCTATTGTTTGGCCTTGTGATGGGGACTGTGGACGATGTTAGGGGCTAATTTACATACCAATCTGAATTTACATACGAATTGACGGATTTACAAATGCATCTGTTTCCCACTTGGGTTTTTTTTTTTTTTTTTTGTAAAGCCCAGCTGGTTAGAGCTACCTCCTTGTGCCCTACAGGCTTCCTTCCTGTCAGCCCTCACCACCTATGCCCCCACACCCCAACAGGTCTGGGCTCAGCCATTGCCGCGGATTTCCTTCTCCTCTAGGTCTCCACAACCTTCTTTTCCACTTCTAATTTCAAAACATCCTTTTTTTCTCTTTCTTTCTTTTTTTTTTTGGTCTCCCTAATTCAAGGGGTACCAGACAGAGACCACTCCTTATTCTCTGCCTTATCTCCATTATTTTTCCTAAACCAAGATACTTGGCCTTGAAATAGAAAATTACGATCCAACTCTGCAGTTCTCATAAGAGCCCTAGTTTTGTCTGGGGGCTGTGCTTTGGAGGGGGACAGGGGTACCAATTATGCCATCTCTGACGGAATCTAAAATCTCTTGTGTCTCTTTATGTAACAAGACAGAACATGCTTTCAGAAGGAGTCTTTTGTTTTCCTGGGTTCTAAAATATCGGTAGAACAGTTTCCAAGCTATTGGCCTACTTTTCTAAGAAAGTTAGTTCAACCTAAGTGCAAAGCTGGTGGCCGCTCAAGTGCTGTAGTACCAGTTGGCAGACACGTATTTGTAACAAGATCGGGAGAAACGAGAGTTGTAGTGGAATCACACTTGGCCTTTTGTTAGGAGAGCACAAATTGCAAGGCTCTCTAACGGCCTGCAAAAACCAACTCCAAAGTGGCTACTGCATGCCTGCAGGGGAGGGTGTTTAGGTT